AACGGCCCTCCTCTGTATGGAGTCAAATGGAAGAAGCTGGTATTTGGGAGCCCCGGCCCAGAGATGGGAGCAGTACTCCACGCGAGGCCGGACTTGTGCTTTATAAAGCAAAAGCCTTTGTCCAGGCGTGAAGTACCGCTTCGCTCTGTTGAGGACTCCCAGCATTTTGGACGCCAACTTGGCTTTGCCTTCCAAATGACTCCGAAACTGGACATCGCTCGAAATGTCGACCCCAAGTATCCCAATACTCTCGGAAGGTTGCAGGGATACTCCTTGGAATTGCGGCGCCATGACAAAGGGGTCCTTCTTCGCAGTGAACGCGCAAACTATAAGTTTTAAGATTTTCTCGTAATACTAATGAAGATTCTAAATATTTCTAATACCTAATGACTATCTCTATTATTTTACTAAACTTACTTGAACTACAGTTTGGACTCTGGGCTTGAAAATACTCTTTTTTTTTTTTAATAATCCATATCTAAATGAAAAAAAAAAACATTTTGAGACATACAGTTGCGTCGTTGTTACCCTAGAAAAAGAAAGTTCGGGTAGTTATGACAGATTGATGTTCGATTAGATTAGATAAAATTTACTTTATTTCGATTTCATTACAATCAAAGTCAGTGGCGACATAGATATGGCAATTTAACAATAACACAATGTAGCGGAGCTTTATCCTACTAACACTTTAATAGGAACGAACTCACTAAGTACTAAACAACAAAATAGGTTTATAGGTTTTACTTTCCTACTATTTATTATCTTTATGGTACTGAAAAATTACAGATGTTTACTACAATATTCTTAAAATCTATAACCCTGCACATCCAAAAAGTTAAAAGTTATGATCAATAGAATTCTAGAACTGTCATTAAGTATTTCAGACTCATTATTAGTTAAACAAATTTTCGTAATATCCAGAATAGCATTTGGGGATAATATTTTTAATAAACGTATTTCAGTAATATTTAAATTATTATTTTATCGAGTTGTACGTATATTAATAAGTTGTTTTTGATTTTACAGCTATCCATTTTTATTTATTTATTTATTATTTGTTGCACCAACAAAGTGATCATCGATACAAAACATTGAACAATTGACAAAAGTTCATGGCAGATGTCACCTCAATTATAGGTACAATCGACAGTGCATTAACAACAAAAATGAAAAAAAAAAATATAACTAAGATTTGATTACATTTGATTGATTGCTTAAGATTAATTTATATTTAATTGGGAAATGATCCGAATTTTCACTCTCATAAGAATATTTTATATCGTAATCTCACTATTTTTAATAAATCGTATAGCTTTTAATCGGGTTGCTTTGCAGATATTTGTATAAGTATTAGCAAAGTTCGATACGTATTGACGGATCGATGTTTGGCGTGTGTAATCGGAATCTGTTTCTGGAATCGAGTTAATAAATTCTTTGATGTCAGAAATTAATACCTCATCTGATTTATGGTTACAAGTCATTCTTCTAAAATCAGTCTTCAAAACTTTATGTTCGTTAGTCTTACTTTTTACCGTACGAATCACACGATCAGATATATACAACGTATTAAGAAAAAAAACTACAAACGCGGATAGGATTACTGTTAACAGTAAAATGGAAAGCGTTGTTACTATTTCTTGGGGCCAAAGCATTGGTATATTCTTCTCTTATCTCTTCGGTCGTTACATCAAACTTCGCGGCAATTACAGCCCAAGCATCCATCTTAAGGTTACCATCTTTATACGCACTAGCTTCTATATTACATAATTCAGGACGTTCAAAATTTCTCGTATGAGTACTCAAAAGCTACTACTAGCTACTTCAAATCAAAGCGGGATAAATCATTTGCAATATAGCCGGCTAGTCATTAAATACTTGCAACTATAATGAAACATATTGACAATATTGCAGCATTTGTTGCACTGTCTTGAGATATAAGGGTTTTCCATTAAAGACTTTACAACTTTTTTTCAAAATAAAATGAAATCCATTTGAGATATTTCAAAACTTTATTATCGGGTTGAAGTACATTCAAAACATTTATGAGTGGAACTCACCATATGAAAATTTACCAATGTTTACACAATGTCTTGGTGAAATGTATTCCCTAATAACAAATTGTAATATTGAAACGGTGTTTGTGTTGCGGGACTTCAACGCACATCCTGGTGAGTCTTTTTGCTATGAGCTTATTGGTTTTTGTACTGAGCAAGAATTAATATTTGCAGACATAGAGTATGTTGGTGCATTGTCACAAACTTATACTTTTATTAGTGACTCACATGGGTGCAAGCGTTGGCTTGATCACTGTCTTGTTACACAGTCTGCGTCTAATGCAATCCTGGATATTGAGATTATTTATGATTCATTCTGGTCAGACCACTTTCCATTAAAAATTATATGTGATATAAATGTTATACGAGAGAAAAAGTGTGATATTAAAGTTGCTTGTAATGGGATACGTTGGGGAGAAATAAATATAAATGAAATAAATAAATATTTAGATTTATGTAATAGGGAATTGAAGAACCTAGACCTCTTAAAAGATTTTGAATTATGTGCAGATAAATTTTGTGATAATCTACACCGTAAAAGTTTGTTAGATAAAATGTATAAAACAATTGTAAATATATTGAGTAATGCTACCTGTAATAGTAAAGTACCGGGAGGTATTATAGGAAAAAATAGAGATATAAAGGGTTGGAATAAACATGTAAAAGAATTTCATAAAAAAGCAAGGATTAAGTTTAAATTATGGATGTGGTATGGGCAACCCAGCTGTGGCCCTATTTTTGAGGACATGAGAATAGCTCGTAAAATCTTTAAATCTAGATTAAAATGGTGCATTAAAAACCAAGAAAAAATTGAAATGGACATTTTGGCTTCTCTTCATTCAAAAAAAAGTTTCTCATCATTTTGGAAGAGTACTAAAAAATTTGATAAATCACCAAGTCTTCCAGTTAGCGTGGAGGGTGAGAGTGACTACATTGGAATAGCAAATATATTTAAAGATCATTTTAAAGTAATTTCTCCATTAAAGACAGCGTCGTTGAGGAATGGTGCTGAGTTCTGTCAATCAGGTTTGCCAGTTCATTTTACATGTAAAGAAATAAAAACTGTGATAAAGGGTATGAAAAGAGGCAAGTCTCCTGGTAATGATGGACTCAGCATCGAGCATCTCCAGAATTCTGGTGTTCACCTGCCGAGAGTTTTGACTATGTTGTTCAATTTGTTTGT